ACGTGGGACAGAATTTAGTTCCTCAGCGCTGGCCCTTGTGGTGGTGAAACAGGAACCAGGGCCGCAGGGCAGGAGACATTTATCCGTCCGATACGAATTAACCGAGTGCCAGACAATGAGGCTCTTTCTTTTTTTTCCCCAGCGTCAGTGCATTCCACAGCTTTTGGGAAGGCGGTTTTGCATCTCTCCCCTTTCAGTCAGTCTCCTTGGTTTGTCCGTTTGTGCAATCTGCAGGGAACACTGCAATCACAATTACTAATATTCCCAAGAGGGTCTCCAGATCAAGCGCAGGAGAGAATTCAGAGGAGATGTGCTTATTTTGTCCCACTGGCACTCAAAACTGGTTCCTGCCTGGGTTCCTCTGCCTGCTCAGCTGGAGACAGGTCTGCCGGCAGAGGCGAGAGCACCTGTGACAGAGGGACAGCAAAACCTTTCTGAAGCTCCATGTGCAGAAATTAAAGCTCCTGCCTGCCCCTCTCCCAGGCAAGGAAAACAAAGCAATGGGCTAAGCAGCAGGAGCCAAAGAAGAGGTGAAGTGACAACACGCTGCTTGCTAGCCAGGTCGGCGCACGTGGAAAATGCAGGAACACCTTGCTGGAAGCTGCCTGGGCTTTGCAGCCTCTCCTCATTTTCTCTGCCCACACAGAGATGTAAGATGCCAAACTCACATCAGTGCCAGGGGCTATGTCAGCTCCTGCCTTGTGCCGGGCACTCCTGATGGTGCATGGCTCTCCTTTCCAGGAGAGCTCCCAGAAGCAGCCAAGGTCCCCGGGGCTCTTCCTCCCCGCAGCGAGAGCTGCCTGCAGCGCTTTTCAGCAGCTGCGGGGTCTGGTGTTGGTGATGCTAGGGGGGACGCCCGGGGCAGCCGTGCTCGCAAAGCAAAAGGCATCACTGGAGCTGGCCCAGGCTAACGCACTCCTCACTCCTCTGACCCCAGGGCCACACAGTGACCATGTCTGAGCTGGAGAAGGCCATGATTGCCATCATTGATGCCTTCCACCAGTACTCAGGGAAGGAGGGAGACAAGCACAAGCTGAAGAAATCAGAACTGAAGGAGCTCATCAACAACGAGTTGACCCATTTCCTTGGTGTAAGTATTGCCCTCCCTGCAGCACACCTGGCTAGGCTCAGGGAGCAGCTGCTGGGTTCCACTAACTCCATATCCCATGGGAAGCAAGCGCAGGGGAAGGGATTTATTCATGCAGCAGTGCATTCAACAATTTGCTCCAGCTTTGCAGGAGCAGCAGGTGGCACAACAAGGGAAATAGCTGGGGCTGTGGTTCGGGGTGGATACTAGGGAAACTTCCTTCCCTGGGAAGTGGGGACAGCCTTGCCCCCAGGGACTCAAGATGCCCCTTCCCAGCAGCACAGCTATGGCTGTGATTCCCACTTCAGGAGGGCTGCTGCTGCAGGCGCAGCGTGGTGCCCCAACACAGAGGGGACACAGCAACGAGCTATTTGGGATGTGTCTGAACAGAGATTCAGCCATGAGAGCCCCCAAGAAGGGGGGACATGTTATTGTCTGGGCCTTGCTGTAACCCTCCCCAGTTTTGGCTGCCTGTCTCTGTCCCCTCAGGAGATCAAAGACCAGGAGACTGTGGACAAAGTCATGGAGGCACTGGACAGCGATGGGGATGCAGAGTGTGACTTCCAGGAGTTTGTAGCCTTCATTGCAATGGTCACCGCTGCTTGCCATGAGTTCTTTGAGCACGAGTGAGTTGACGGGAAGCAGGCGAGCACCTCCTGCTCATGCTGGAGAGATGCGGAGCAGCAGCGTTCCTCCGGGAAAAAGACGGTGTGATTAGGGGTTCCTTGGAGTTCAGCTTGTGCTAGAGTTAAGCAGCTTATTAAGTTCTGCGTCTTGTGAACAAGAAAACGCGCGCATGGTTCAGGAAAGCCTGTCGGCCAGTGCCCACCTGGCTGGATGCGGTGTGTGAATGCCTTCCCTCACGCTCCTTCCCTACGGCTGTATGCACAGGACGTGCACAGGGCTGGAGGCAGGTGGACGCTGCCATCCAAGCTTGCTTGCCAAGGGAAAACGGAAGTTCAAGGGCTGAAGTAGGAAGTGATGCAGCGGGGCTGGCTACACAAGCCTGGTTCTGAGCCCACCGGCCTGAACAGAAAGGCTCCCGTTGATTCCCGTGGGCTCCGACTGCCCTGTGCATGGTACTAACCGCAGCAGCACAGCCCCTGTCCTGTCACAGGGGCTCAGCAAAGCCCACGCATTTCTTGGTAAACAGAGACCCCCTTGGCTTGAGAGGCAAAGCATAACCATCTAACAGCCCAGGCTTTTCTCTTGTCGATGAATCCTCCTGCTTTTAGCAGCCTGCAGAACTGGAAGCGAAAGCCTACGAGGCTCCTGGGCTGGGCACAGCTTCTGGGCCTGGGACGTGCCTTGGCGAGGTCCCCAGGCTCAGTCAGAAGGGAAGGGGGGGGATCCACTCAGTGTCACCACAGTGCTTTAACGTAGACCAGGTGCAGCCTCTGGAGCGTGTGGAAATGGTGAGAATAAAATGTTTCGGTCTCTAGGCCACAACTAGTCTCTGGTGGAAAATGCATCCTTTGGTCCCAGGCTGCGTGCAGCTCCCCGCCTGCCCTGCACTGTGACGGGGGAAGGCTGGAGAGCGCTGCCTGAAGCACTGCTACGGCTCACAGCCCTGGCTGGGCATCGACCCTTCATTTCCTCGCTGGCATCCCTGTGGCTGGGCCCCGCCACCATGCTTTGCCTGGCTGTCCAAAGCAGCAGCTGTACCTGCCAGGCCAAAGGGGCACAACTTGCCCTGGTGAACCTTTGCAAAGCCAAAACTAAACATACAACAACTTCCCCGAAGCCTACGCTCCTGCCTTTTTCAGTCCGCACTTGCATGCAGCGCAGCGATGCCTGTGGGTCAGGCATTTGTGGCTAGCAAACATCTATCGTGACAATTCATGAGAAAGATGCCCGCAGATGTTGCTGTCGTTTTTACCTCATTCCACCTTTCATAATGATTTCACGTGCAAAATGACATGTCTTAGGACAGGGACCTGCTTGCTGTTCACCTGCTTCCCCCCTGCTGCGGAAGGGGACACTTGGGCAGAGACACACATACACCAAAGACACATCTTGTGCTCCATCCAGAATTAAAAAAGCAGTTTTGCCATCGCAGGTGCCCGAGTCCCACCTGCCTCACCGCACCAGCAGTGCTCCCACGGAAGAGGAGCCCTTCTGCAAGACCGGGCCTTTTCGGCAGCCCTGCACAGCATTGCAACAGCAAGGAGCTGGGGGTGTAGAACACAGCTCGGATGCTGGCAGAGCTGGTGTGACCTGAGCAGGCTGTCCTGTCCCTGGGCAAGCAAAGGGAGCAGGAGCAGGGAGCAATGCAGTACGACCGCACGCGTTTCCGGCAGTAAGGTTGATCCCGACTTAGCAACACCACTGCTGGGAATTCACAGAAGCTTTATGTGGCACAGGAGAAGGCACAGCAGAGCTGGTGCCTCTTGTCAGGGAGGAAGAGAGCATGTCTTCCTCTGAGGTGAGCACCCTGACTGCCAGTGGTGCAGCACGGTGCCTGAGCCCTGGACACTCCTCCACCCCTGCAGTGAAATTTCTGACACAGGGACTGTGTGGTCACAGGCCTCACTCAGCACCACCCAGCCCGCACTGCGGTTCTGCTCCCACGGTGTCCTGCTGCTCTCGGACACAGGCAGTGCCTCAGCTGAGAGCACGGACTGCAGGGACAGCTGCGTGCTGGCACAGCGTGGGAGACAGTGCCGTGGTTTAACTCCTGCTAGCAAAATACCACGAAGCTGCTCTCGAAAGCCCCCCCCTCGCTTCAAATGCTGTTGCACAGCAGTTCGGGCAACACTGACGCAAGCACATGGCAGAAGTTGCCTCTGCCAACCACTCCCCCCGCACGCTGCCCGCCCTGCACGCTGCCCCCTCGCACAGGCACATCCATCTGCAGCACCTCTGCCAACACCCTGGGCGCCTACGGGCCGCGCAGGCCCCACGTCCAGCCTAGAAAAAGGATGCTGCTACACCAGCAAGGGCGTTAAAAAAAAGGAAAAGCTCTGAAGCCAAGGAGCAGGCACCAGAGCTTTGGGCAGCAGGTGTCACAGCTGGCTCTGAAGGAGGCTCAGAAGCTTTGAAGCAACTCGCTAACCTCCCAGCAATGACAGGCTAGATACTTGGAAGCACCAGCCCTGACACCACTGGTATTCAGGCCCTGGCAGGGATAGTTTGCTCTTCAGGAAGAGAAGGTAACAGGCTAATGACATATTAAATAATTTTTAGTTATGCCCCCTTCCAGCCAACAGAGTCAGCCTGCTGGATACCCAAGGTTTGTGTGCTCTTACAAAACCTCGCTGGCACTGGTTAGACTCATGTGACACTGCATCGATCCCAGCAGAGCACGGAAAATACACATTTTCATTGCAGACTGGCATTTGACAACCTGCAGAAAGGCTGATTTGGTAACGTGGCGCTCTGGGGTCTGTGCTGCAGGACCCTCAGGGTCCTGAGAGGCTCCCCGAGGATGACACTAGCAGCGCCTACCAGACGGTTGGACGCGTTTGTCTGTTACTCTTTTGACTCCCTACGCAGTGAATTCCCCACCAGGAAGGGCACCGACAGATGGTTTCTTATATTAAACGTCCTGTCAAGACAAGAACTATTTATCAACGGTACTAAAAGTGAAACAAAGAGAAGAAAGTACAACAGGACAAGCCTGAGACATTTAACAGACTCAACTTCTCAATCCAGAAAAGCAACGTATGGGCAGATTCGGTATGTACCTGCTGTATTGTATCTCTGCTCTAACACTGTGATAATTTAAAACGCTGCCCTTACATTTTGCGCTGTGAGGTCAGAACCTGTACTTCTCCTCTCTCCCCACATAATTACAAAGTGTATCTGTGAAAGGGAACCCTCTCTCTGGATCAGACACAAAAGTACCAGCACTGGAAGAGCACTTAGAGACCCCCACATCTTACTGGGTGTGATGATTATTGTGGAACCATAGAATGGTTTGGGCTGGAAGGGACCTTAAAGACCACCTAGTTCCAATCCCCCTGCCATGGGCGGGGCCACCTTCCACTAGACCAGGTTGCTCAAAGCCTCATCCAGCCTGGCCTTGAACACTTCCAGGGATGGGGCATCCACAGCTTCTCTGGGCAACCTATGCCAGTGCCTCACCACCCTCTCCAGGAAGAACTTCTTCCTGAAATCCAATTTAAATCTCCCCACTTGCAATTTAAACCCGTTACCCCTTGTCCTGTCACTACAGGCCCTTGTAAAAAGTCCCCTCCCCCAGCTTTCTTGTCGGCCCCTTCAGGTACAGAGGGGGCGTATTGCTGTTAGCACATCTCAAACACGTCTCCTTCATCTTGCCGACTGCCAGTGGTCTGTCCAGGCAGGCTGAACCATTCCATAGCACGGTTCACGCGCTGACATCAAAATAAGTAATTTATCTTAAAAAGAAAACCAAAATGCGCTTTTTCCACAAATCAAACACGGACTTTGACAGACCCCAGAGAAGGAGCGTTCCTGACCTTGCCGGGCGGAGTAAAGCAACTGCGTGAACAAAAGCACCGCACCGCCGGGTCCCGCGCTTTGGGAACTGCGCGCTGCAAGCTGCGGCCGAGAGACTCCTCCATCCTGGCAGGCTAGCGACAGGGAAGCACGTTACGCTGAAAAACACATCTCAGAAGAAAGCGGCAGCATTCCTGTGAGTGATCCAGGGACTGAATTTGTTCCCCCTACCAGGTTTTACATCTGAAGGATTTCCCTGGCCTTACTTACTGTACTGCAATAGTCAGGGCATTAGAACGTGTTTTCAGGTTTCCCAGTCTGAAATATTCTTGGCACTGGATTGTACTGTGCAAAGCCCGAGTTCATCCTGCATCCTCAACAGTGGGGACTTCTGAGTGCAGGGGGAAGGCAGCTGAGAGAGCAGGAAACTAGAATAGCAAAATAGGAAGCTTTTTAAACAAAACAAAAAACTAAACACCTCCAAAACTATCAAGGGGCAAGATAAAACTGGTCTTTAAAAAGCCACTTTACTATTTTCTTGCCACCGGAATTCTGATTCTGCATGTAGGCACGCCAAGTTACAAGCACACAACCACCATGGCACTGCTGCCCGTGTCCAGGAAGGAAAAATGGCAGGAGTAAAGACAAATCGTTGTTTTGCAGTTCCCTGTGCAGTGTCAGCGTTAAAGAACGCTAGAGAACCAGCCACCGTGTTCCCCTTCCACAAGCAAGTGTTTTATGTTTAGGTGAGAAAAGGATTAAAAATTAAGCGACTGGAGGAGAAGAGAGTGGTGTACATTCTTTTAATTGCATGTTTGAAATACAAAAAAGGTCAAACTGCATATGTGGCACCGGCATAGCTAAACTGGAAATAAACCTCAGTGTGTCTAGTTCCTCCTAAACACCATCACTGGTCACAAAGCAAAATCTAAAGACTGCAGGAAAAGTTTACGTTAGAATTTTGTCATGACAGGAGACTTCAGCTTAGGAACACCTCATTGGAAATATCTGACCACATAAATCATGGAATCACAGAATGGTTTGGGTTAGAAGGGACCTTAAAGCCCATCTAGTTCCAACCCCCCTGCCATGGGCAGGGACACCTTCCACTAGGCCAGGTTGCTCAAAGCCTCATCCAGCCTGGCCTTGAAGACAGCCAGGGATGGGGCATCCACAGCTTCTCTGGGCAACCGGTGCCAGTGCCTCACCACCCTCTCCGGGAAGAACGTCTTCTGAAATCCAACCTAAATCTCCCCGCTTTCAATTCAGACCTGTTGCCTCTTGTCCTGTCACTACAGGCCCTTGTAAAAAGTCCCCCCCCAGCTTCCTTGTAGGCCCCCAAATATTTGAAACCAGCTGAATATAAACATCAGTTCAACAATAAGAATTATATCTTAGTATACCCAGCATCAAGTAAATCCTCAAGTGTAAAAACTTGGAGAGTTATTCACTGCAGTTTTGTTAGTGGTATATTAGTTCTTAGATGTAACCCAAGTCAGTCTCTCACCTACTAACGTGATTTCTGGCCTGATACACTTTGAACATGCAACCTTTTGGAAATTTCATTTTTTGGCCCTAAACCAGAGTTGTGAATATACTATTAGAAACCAAAACCAGCTGCCTACCCAGAAAGTTTCTTAAAGTGCATAAGTGTTTTCACACAATGACAGGGAAATAGTTAAAAAAATCGGGGTGTTGGTACAGAAAATTAGGGATGTGCACTTAAAATGAGCTCATTGCTTCCTTTTTTTCTAACCAATTCCTGCGTAACAATAAGCAATAAATAAAGGCGTAAATTAGCCTCGCAATAGTGTTGCTGGAATGAGATAAAGTGTATGAAGTCAGTACACAGTGCTGGCCCACAAAGAGCACTGCTGCAACGAAGGCAGTTTATTTGCAGTTACCACGCTCTTTAGTACGCGCTGGAGTCCAGTCTCACAACCGGGAACAAACGCGGAACGTGCTGCCTCGACAGCAACCCCTGCGCGGCACCTCGCCTCATCCCCTCAGCACGGTGACTGGCCAGCGAACCAGCTACAGCGATTTCTTAATTCCGAAGGAGATGGAGCTTAGAATTCCCTTGTTCCTGCATTTTACATTCCTAAGAGATCAGGTTAAAAAAAAAAAAAAAGCTTGTACCTTTACTACAAGCTGCTATGTCAAACGTCAAGCTCCTTCCATTTCAGGTGAATTGCAGACTTCTGACACCCACCCGCAGCAGTTTTGAGGAAGAGGAGTTAAGTTGCTTTGGCAGTAAAACGTGTCGTGCTTTCGGTGCCCTTCATAGACAGCCTTATCTGGATGCTAAGTACAACGCTGTGTCGTAATTACCAGTGAGAAAAAGACGGCTCAGAGATGCCATCTTCTCCTTAGGTACAGTGCTTTTAAAGACAAATCGCGTTTTGAAGGCAAGTTCCTGCGGGTTTCCTAAACCCGCTGCTGGTACAAAACTTTCCTGTAGGTGTGCTGCCTCTCTTGCCTTTTCAAACAGAAACTTCACTTTAAGAGACTACATCTTAATTTTGTTTTGCACACAAAGCAGCATCCCTCTCCCAATCCGGGTACAAGCAGGCGCTTTGGTCAGGAACCCGTGTTAGAAAACGCTGACAGGACACAAACCCAATGGGGTCCACGAATAGGGTGGAGCCCCCCTGTAACCACAGAGCGTTCTGCACCCCGCACAGACTGTGGGGAGCCTCAGCAGGCTTTTATGTATCTGCTGCACCCCAGAGAAGTGTCTGCATCGCACCTTGTGTCCGAGAAAGAACGGTGTTGGGAAACACACTCTGGAGTAACGCTGGTGCAGCACATCGCTGTCTTCTGATAAAAGTCAAACCAGACACTACTTCCCGCAAGCCACATGGCAGAGGGCCAGAACAGTCCTTGTTTTAGTGACTTTCACAGCCTTTCCGCCAGCTGCTCTGAGTCAGCCTGGTGAGGTTGCTCAAGGCTGTCTTCTCGGTGCTGCTGCTTCTGCTCCTGCCTTTTCTTTTCAGCCAGTACTTTTGCCCTGGTGGTCATTGGCCTGGGTCTCACATCAGGCCTCTCCTCATCCTGCTGGTGCTTCTTACAGTGTTTTTCAAAGGTGGACATTTTGGCATACGTTCGGTTGCAAACCAAACAGTGGTACGGCCGCTCCCCACTGTGTGTTCTCATGTGAAGCTGGAGGTAAGAAGACCTGGAAAAGGCCCGGCCGCAGACCGAGCAGCGGTGGGGCTCACGTGCCTCGTGGGTCTTCAGGTGCTGCTTGAGGGACGCCGCCTGCTTGAACGCCTTCCCGCAGGTGGAGCACTTGAAGTTCCTCTCACCCGACTCGAGAAGCTGGTGCGACACGAGGTGCGCGGAGGAGCGGAAGTTCTTCCCGCACCTGTCACACTTGTAGGGCCGTTCCCCGGTGTGCAGGCGGACGTGGAGGACCAGCCCGGCCTTCTGCGTGAAGGCCTTCTCGCACTGCAGGCACTTGAAGGGCCGCTCCCCGGTGTGCACGCGGCGGTGGGTCGCGAGGTGCGAGGCGCGCCCGAAGAGCTTCCCGCACTCCTCGCACTTGAAGGGCCTCTCGCCGGTGTGGATGGCCTTGTGGCGCACCAGGTGGGAGGACTGGAGGAAGAGCTTCCCGCAGACGGGGCACCGGTACTTCCGCTCGCCCGTGTGGGAGCGGCGGTGGAGGGCGAGGTGCGACGAGGAGATGAAGGCCTTGCCGCAGAGCGGGCAGCCGTGGGGCCGCTCCCCGGTGTGGGTGCGCTTGTGCA